GGAAAATGGGATTTTTTTGGGAGGGAATAGAAGGAAAATGGGATTTTTTTGGGAGGGAATAGAAGGAAAATGGGATTTTTTTGGGAGGTTTCGTTCCAAGCTCTCCGCTTGGAGCAGCACTTCATGGGGGTGGGAATGAGATGGGGTTAAGGTCCCTTCCAAGCCAAGCCATTCCCTGATTCCAGGGTAATATCCCAGGAATTTTAAATAAAGCATAATCAGTTCCTCGGAATGAACCAGCAACCACAAAACAAAACAAAGGCACTTTGGACAATTTGGTGCTGGTTCAACAAAAAAAAAAATACAAATAAAAGGCTTTTTTTGATGGATTTCCCCTTTGGATCTCTTTGCACGCTTTGGGAAAAATGGGAATGACTTGGCTCAAATCCTCCTCCACCTTCTGGCACAGGGAATCCTTAATCCACTTAATGAGCAGGGAAATTCAGGGAGTAATTAGGGTTTAATTAATGCTCCATGGGCAGAACTGAAGGATGGAGTGGCTGCAGGGCTGAGTTTGCCATCGGCACCCACTGGGTGCTCCAGGATCCTTCCTCATCCCATGGATTCCATGTAAGGAACTTGATGGGATTCCTTTTCCTGGGAGTCCCAGTTCCACAGGCAGAGTTTGCTTTTTAAATCTTTGGGTCAAAACAGAAATGAAAAGGCAAAAAAAAAAACCCCAAAAAAACCAGAAAAAATAGTGAAGAATGAAGGAAATGAAGCACAAAGAGGTGCAAAAAAAAGGAAAGTTGGAATGAAATGGTCCCTTCCAACCTAAACCATTCTGGAATTCCATGGAATTGCCTTAGTGAGGGTATTCAGGAAATGGAATAACATGGAATGAGGAGGGTGGGGAGAGAGGAAGGGAAGGACTGACCTCTCCAGGAATGCCAGATTTACTGAGGTGGGTCTGATCCAGGGCCTGAAGGGCTCCAGGAGAGCTGGAGAGGGACTGGGGACAGGGATGGAGGGACAGGAGCCAGGGAATGGCTCCCACTGCCAGGGGGCAGGGATGGCTGGGATATTGGGAATTCCTGGCTGGAATGGGATTCCCAGAACAGCTGGGGCTGTCCTGGATCCCTGGCGGTGTCCCAGGCCAAGCTGGACAGCTGGGATGGTGGGAGGTGTCCCTGCCATGGTGAGGGGTTGGATTTGGTGCCTTTTAAAGGTCTCCACCAATCCAAACCATTCCTGGATTCCATGAATTTTTTCCACCCCCCCTCTAGAACCCA